TTTATAAAATGTTAATATATTCACCATAAATAAATATTTTAAGTAATTAACTTACTTGATTCAGATATTCTTCACTAATATTTGTGAATCGTTAAGCCGTTTAAGAGCGACTTTAATTGGTCCGTTACGTGTCCATTGTTCTGAGCCTTCATCCCAAATACATCGAGGACCTTCCATCCAAATTGCCGAATATATTGCACTAAAGGCTCCTCTTTTATTCGTATTTTCTACAAGATCAAATTGCTCAAAATCAAGATATTCCAAGTAATCTACACTTCCAGTTGCGTTTAATTGAGAAGTCTAATAAATGTATCGATCTTAAGATTGCCACTTGTCCAATTTTTAAAATTTTCTTTAAAGGCATTAACTTCACATTCTTTGCACCATCCGATACTGCTTTGTTCCTTACCACAATAACATTTTCCAGAAGTTGGGCATTTCAATTCTTCTGAAGTTAGAACAAAGTCTATTAAATCAGAGTCTCGATTTTGTTGAGATTTTGTTAAGACCTAAATATTAAACATACCTGAATTGTCATAGGAACTTTCATTCACGAAAATGAAATTCATATTTGTTACGGAATTTACGATTAAAAATGGCTTATAAAGCATGTTATTATAAGCCAAATTTGTAAAACAATAACAACAGGTTATTTCAAGAATCACCCCAACCCCATCCTCAGCCCAAATCTATTTCGAATGTATTGAGAGAAGGTGGTGATTCTGTACCCGTTTGAATATTTAATAGGATTTTCAGAAATTAAGATTTTGTTCGAAATAAAGAATTTCGTTAGACCTATTAGACATATCTGATTGTCATAGGAACTTCATTCATGAAAAACGAAAAGAAATTCATATTTTACAAAATTTACGAAATTAAAAAGGCTTATAAAACACGTTATTAAAGTCTGTATTTGTAAAAATCAAATCACGCAATTTCTTTGATGATGTCTAAAAAAAGTCGTACGATGATCGACTTTTTTTTTTTTTTTTTTTTTTTAACTTTTATCGTTAAGTGAACGTAAAAATTTGAAATTTATTTCTCTCTTTTATAATTTTTAAAACTCCATGAAAGGAAATGTATAAGTATTCTAAGTTTGTAGCGCAAAACCCTTATTTTTCGACGGAAGCTATAATATTTTTATTGATTATCAGTATTTAATTATACTTTTACCAATTTTAATATTTTTTATTAGTGATAATATATCACAGTTATTTTTTTATACATTTTTGCTAATATTTATAATCTTATTAATGAAACTTGGGTGCACTAAATTTATGTCAAAATAATTTTTTTTTAGTATATGAGTTTTAATAAAGTGTACCTCTCTCTTAAATATGATTGGTTCAAAAAAGATTCATAGATTCATATCAATTATTAAAAGAGTTTCAGTAACTTTACAAAAAATTCATAAATCCACACTATTTAAGTTAGCCTTCTGAAAATTAATATCAATACTGTAGCTTTGAAAATATTTGTGTAAGGAGCTCGTTATTCACATATGCCCACCTCACTTGTTGCGTAGGATTAGGGATGGTGTGTTATTACAATTATTAAACTATATGATTTCGGGGGGTTTATAATGCGACATAAAAAAAATGACTAGTTTAATATATAAAAATAAAATAAAACCAGTCTCAACGAATAATCATATTGGTTTTGTTTAACCTTATTACAAAAAATAGAGTCTATTGGAAACTATAATTGTGCTAAACGTACC